GCTCGCTGCCACCTCTGCCTCCAGGGTTCAAGTGATTGTCCTGCCTCAGCCTCCCAAGTAGCTGGGATTACAGGCGCCCGCCACTACACTCAGCTAAGTTTTTGTATTTTTAGTAGAGACAGGGTTTCACCATGTTGCCCAGCTGGTCTTGAACTCCTGACCTCGTGATTCACCCGCCTCAGCCTCCCAAAGTGCTAGGATTACAGGTGTGAGCCACCGCACCTGGACTAATTTCTGTATTTTTAGTAAAGACGAGGTTTCACCATGTTGGCCAGGCTGGTCTCAAACTCCTGACCTCAAGTGATGCACCTGCCTCAGACCTTCCAAAGTTCTGGGATTACAGGCATGAGCCACTGTGCCTGGCCTACACCTTTATCTCCTTACAGAAGTCTCATATTTTGTTGGGATGATACCATTTCCATTTAGCTCAGGAATTTGCAGTAAGTCAAACACTAGGAAAAATGTAAAAAGCAAGGGGAAACAGTGAATCTGGCCATGTGAATAATTGAATAATTTTGACCTTCTAAAACATACCATAAGTTCTTTTTTTTTTTTTTTTTTTTTTTGAGACAGTGTCTCACTTAGTTGCCCAGGCTGAAGTGCAGTGGTATGATCTCGGCTCACCACAACCTCTGCCTCCAGGGTTCAAGCCATTCTCCTGCCTCAGCCTCCCAAGTAGCAGGGATTACAGGCGCACGCCACCACGTCTGGCTAATTTTTGTACTTTTAGTAGAGACGAGGTTTCACCATGTTGGCCAGGCTGGTCTCAAACTCCTGACCTCAGGCAATCCACCTGCCCTGGCCTCCTGAAGTGATGGGATTACAGGCATGAACCACCACGCCTGGCTGAGTTCTTGAATCTATCCTACATTTGAAAAAATCCATCTAACAAGAGGAACTCTGAGCCTAGAAGCTAGAGGTCATCTTCCACTGTTTGTCTCAGTATCTGTGGATCTGGGGACTATTGTCTTCATAAGGATACATCAGGATTGCCAACTTTGCCCAGGACCATGAGGTCGGTTCATTATACCCAACGGTGCCACCTAGACTCACTAGAACATCCGTTTCCCTGAGACTCCTGAGATTGAATCAATATGGTGTAGAAACATGGAACCATCCTTACCTTATTCTTCTCACTGTCTCTTTGATACTTCAGTATCACAAACAGCACAACAACAAACAAAAGCCAGAGCCATTTGCTCCCAAGCCAGCCTTGGGCATACTCTGGTAGATTCTGCCGAATCCGAAAGTGCCCTCC